GAGAGAGAGGGAGAGAGAGAGAGAGAGAGAGAGAGAGAGAGAGAGAGAGAGAGAGAGAGAGAGAGAGAGAGAGAGAGAGAGAGCTTGCCTGGCAGCCATAGCCGCGCATCATGTACAAAAGACAATTTTGCGCCAAGACTATCTTCGAGTTTCCATCTCACATGTGCTTCGTGTGTGTGTGCTTCCATGGTGCGAGTTTGGTGTGAAAGTGTCGTGCATGCATGGGTCTTGTAGCACTTTCTTGGTTTCGGATCGATAGAGCAAAGAGTGGTGGTGTCTGTATGATCAGTATCGGTTTATCTATCGATAGAGCAAAGAGTGGTGGTGTCTGTATGATCAGTATCGGTTTATCTGTCTGGAGAAAATAATGGATGGGATGGTGTCCACTGTCCAGCCGTCTTGCCTTTGTTTTTTTGAAACACTCCTCAGCTTAAATTTTTCTGACACTTGGGTTCTGAAGTTGCTTTCTTGCTTTCGCAACGATAGGTGCGTGGAGTGGAGGTGGCTGTATCGGTTTGTCCAACTCGAAAAGTGAATGGATGCAATGGTGTTCGGTCGTCATCTTGCTCTTGAAATGCTCCCTATTCTCTACTCCACGTGTACAAGTGTACCCATGTGGGTAGAAAACCCACGTGCGTTTGTAGTAACTTTGTAAGTTTGTACCCATGTGGGTAGAAAGTACTAGAAATCCACGTGACGTCAGTTGTTGTAGCTTAAATCTTCTGAAACTTGGCTTCTGAAAAACTGTTTTTTTGCTTTCGGATCGATAGAGCAGGGAGTGGAGGCGATCAGCCGCAGGGTGAGGGTGCTGCGCCAGGAGCGGCTGCTGACCAGCCACCTGCGAGCGGGAGCGAGGTAATACCCAAGGAGGAAGAGAAGATCAAAGATCCGAAGGAGGAAGCTGAAGAAGAGGAAGAAGCCGTTGAGGAAGACGAAGGCGAGGAGAAGGAGAAATCGGATGACGATGACGAGCGGGACCCAGAAGGAGAAGAGGATGAGGATGAGGACGAGGATGAAGAAGATGAAGAGGAAGGGCAGGAGCAAGACGAAGAGCCGAAGGGGCCACCCCCGCACAATATCTTTTTAATCTCTGAGGTAAACTCGAGAAACGTGAAAAAATCAAAAAAAAGAAAAGGAAAAGCTCCGATGAAAGAAATGAAAAGATACTGAGAGGAACAAGAAGAGAAAGGCAACAGAAGGGGACGCAAAAGGAAAAAGGACGTCAATTACGAAATTGAATTTGGAAAGAAAAAAAAAAAAACGAAAAAAGAAAAAAGGAGGTCGAGAATCAAGATATTGTGCAAAAGCACAGACTGCAAGCTCACTCCCTGCGTGACTGGGTGCTGCTAGGAACCTTCCCGGCCAGCAGAAGTATTGTGGCATACTGCGCAGCCACACGGGTCTGCAGGGCCTGTCCCGCAGTCTCAGCCTAAAAGCCTAGAAACAAGGGCTTACAGGCCCCGTGTCGTTTCAGCCTTAAAGACTGAAAAACGAGGGCCTGCAGGTCCTATGTCGTTTCAGCCTAAAACAGGGCCTTCCAGGCCCTGAGTCTTTTCAGCCTGAAACGGAGGGCCACTTTCGGGCCCTCATAAGATCGACCT